ATTGCCTCCATGGTCATTTTTACTAGCTTTTTTAAAACCAGTCATTTTAATTATGGGCCGGACCAGGTCCAAGAAAACACAAGAGCGTATCATTTCATACCATACTAACAATACCATAGGCCTACCATACCAAACACTACCATACCATAACAAACCATACCATAACAAACCATACCATACCATATCAAAGATACCATAACGTACCATACGATACCAAACCATATGATATAGAAGGAAATGATTGGATTCAATACCATACCATACCATACCAAAGATATCGAGATACCATAGGTCTTCCACACCATGCCATACCAAAGATACCATACCATAACAAACCATATGATATAGAATGAAATAATACACAATACCATACCGTACCGTTCATACCATACCATAACATATGATATCATACGAAATGATAGGTTATATACTATACCATACCATAGAAAGCATACCATGCCATAGGCCTTCCATGCCATACATGCCATGACACAATATGAAGATAAGATTCAATGCTAAATGATATGATAAGATAGGATATGGCCTGTGAGGTTTGATATAACATGATACTATAAATTAGGATACTATACGTTTCTGATTCTCAATAAGACTTAATTTACATGTTTACACCTTTCTTCGGTTCACATATTTCACTCGAGAAAAAACAAAAACACGGTTCATCCACTCCTGATGTTTTACAAAAACAGTCCTTCTCTGCTGAAAAGTAGGTCAGAGGTGGGACTCGGTTTGCCCGTTTTAGAGCTCACAGATTTGTTTGGTACCATTGATGCAACCATTCAGACGACATCAGGCTCTAATCTCCTTTTTAATCAACACAGACCTTACTGAAACCACCGGGTCATTATGAGGTCAAAACTAGATGAAAGCCAGCCAGTGTCCCATAGCTTCTGGGTTTTTTGAGAACGAGATAAACACAGAATGTCAGAAGGGACAAAACCGTTCTAAATTTAAAGTATTATTTATGCAATGCGTCAGAGGAAATGAATAAAATCTTTGTTTGATTGCGACAATCATTGTTTTTCCAGATATCTTACCACAGGTCCAAAGACCAATATGTCTCACGGCATCTCGCAGAAACTCTTATTTATCTGACAGCTATAAAACTTGAAGATATATGCAGGTTGTCTTCGGAAGATGAATGATATTCACAGAGCCAGCGGCTGCTTAGGTGCTGTTTAAAAAGCTGTTTTAAAAAAGTTGCAGTGTAGTTGAGCATTTTTTAAATTTAAAAATAGTACTGATGTGATTATCTAAAAGCAACTCAAAATGAGGTAACCAAAATGTGCACGGTATTGTACAGAAACGCTTAAAGAGGACATAATATCCCCCTTTTCCACATTTTCAAACAGTCCCCTGTAGTCTAAATAACCCTTTTCACACACACGGAAATCTCCTGAAAAATTCAGGAGATTTGGCTACCCGGAGGTTCTTTAGGCTATGTGTGAACGCAAACAGCTGCATTTTTTGCGCGGTCTTGACCTTGAGTTTCTCCGGCCAGACCCCCAAAGTCCCCCACTGTGAGGAGCATATGTGAACGGCTAGGTCGGGAGAATCTCCAGAGAAATCCTCCTGTAAATATCTAGATATTATCTGGAGTGCATATGTGAAAATGGCTATCGAAACATCTGTGCTCTGCATTTGGTCAAAATATAACATGAGTCAAGCACCAGAGGAGGTTTGTTACCCTTTATAAACCAGCTCTCTCAGAACGCTCCTTTTGGTGTGTGTGTCTCTTTAAATGCAATGACCCCCCCCCCCCCCGAGTTTTCCCCGTAGACATCACTCCTCTGTATTGAGAATAAAAATGGTGGACCTGCGCAAAAGTTTTGCTCTAGACTGGGGATGGAGTCCATGGGTGGAGATTTTTTACCAGAATCCCACTGTGACATCACAAGGAGAGCACATTTGAAACTGAGTATTTTTCTCAGTGTTGTAAGACTTATGCAGACCACAAATAAAGGACTGGATATATATATGTATATCTAAATATATGTTCAAAAACACTGTAAGAGTGGATTTTTCATAATATGTCCCCTTTAAAGCTCCCTGAAGGACTTTTCAGCTTGTGATGAAAGAAGCTTGTGATGAAACAACATCTGTTGTCTGTTTTAGACCTACAAAACAAAACACGACTCTCAACAACAGATTGATCATTTCTATGTAGTTATTTTATTTTTGTTTATTAGCCTATGGATGTTATTAAGGCCTATGTTGGTTTACATATTTAGAGAAAATGTTTTCTCAAATCAGTCAACAAGGAGAGTCCGTGTTTGGTAAATGTTGGCTGACTTCACTTTGAATGTGATGTGAAACCGGTTGTGAAGAAACGCACTTGTTAACACCCTGATGTGAACTGTGTGGTTTATATAACATCGACAGAGAGAGAGAGAGAGCGAGAGCGAGAGATGCGCGGAGAGTTTGCAGCAGTGAGCTGATGTTTCCTGTGGTTGTGTCAGCCGATGTTTCCACCGAGTAGCCTACAGCGTCGTATTTCAGCGGGCCTTGCAGAGGCAGGAAAGGGGGGCTCGGGCTGCTGTTAACCGCTTAAATTTTCCGATGCCTCTGCAGGCTGCCTTTTCAAGTGTCCAGGAGACGAACCGGAGAAAGCGGAGAGATTTAGTTTCCTCTGATCAAGTCGAGGAGTGTTTTAGTCCTAATCCTCAGAAAAGAGTCGAGTTCAAATGTTGTGTATGTGCAGGAGGGAGTGAACGGAGCAGCACTTAAAAAAAAAAAAAAGCAAACATTTTCTGTCTCAGCAATTTGGAGATTTACTTCTAGCAGTGTTAAAAAGACAGCCATGTGAAGCCCACCGGCATAAGTCAATGTCACATCCGGTCACATACTTTTCAAACTAATGGTCTCTTTAGAATAGCCTAATTAAAAACGTCAGTAACGTTACCTAAACTGACACCACATCAACATTAAGACTGTATTTATCGACCTTCATATATTTTCTAACTAATCAAAGTGCTATAGTCTTATTAATTATATGTAAAAAAAGAAAAAGAAAAGAAAAGCTGCTTGATTAACATGCCATGGACTGTATAAATCATGGACGTAGTCTTAGTGACGTCACCCATTGTTGAGGCACTTGGAAGCTGAACAAAGGCGGCCACTATATTGGAAATACCTCCACCTAAGTGACGGTCAATCCTGTAACAGGCAGAGAGTTGGAGTTAGGGCGGCTCTGTAGCTCCCTGGCAGACAGAAACAACACACACATGTATGCATAACTCTCAGCCTTTAAATAATCTAAACGCATAGGTATAAAGAAATTTCCCCACATAAAATGTGTACCAATAAAGACATGACCTATTCAGACCAAACTAGTTTTTTTTAACCTGGTGGTAAACATTTTTGTTTGTGTATCTTTCCATTCTTGCGGGAAGGCCCGGAAGAATGGAAAGATAAACAAACACCATGAAATGAAAAAAAGGGAGAGATCGTAAAAAAGCAGGAAGGTGAAACCACGCTCTATTTACAGTCTACCAAAAAAGTATGTTTGGAAACTACAGCTAATTCAGAACTCTACTGCGAGTCTATAAACAAAAACAAGAGAGACAGAGAGCATATTATATATAGATATGCCTTTATTTATCCCACAATGAAGAAATATACATATAGGCCTATAGCAGAACAGAGAAGCTGCAAAGTGCTGTCTCATTCGTATGAAACCATTGGAGCTCTTTCAGCCTCGTGCACTCAATCACTTTCCAGGTGACATCAAGTAAGTCCATAAGGGCTCAAGGTTTAGGGAAGACATTGAGATTCAACCATTGGCTTAATTTGTCCACATTGGACTTTACCTTTTGTGCAGACCTGTACACCTGCTTAGATAAAAGCAGAAAAAATAACCAATCACACTTTTCTCAGTTGAAATTGTATTTAGGTGAACTCAATAAAAAAATATGAGGCTTTGTGCAGTTCCTTCCCTTGAATAGAAATAAGGTTGTCACAACCAGAAATTCAAAATCCGATGATATTCATACCAGTTTGGATACCATGGTAACAAAAATAGCAGTAGACACTCAATATTGAGATTTTTGTTGTTGTTTTTGATTAACAAATATTTAAAAAATCTCCTGCACACTTTTTAAATTGTTTCGTTGATGAAGAGTGAGTGAGTAGTGCCTGAAATATTTTTTTTAATTGTGCTGAATGAGTTCATCATCGAAGTATTGGACATTTCTTTGCAACCTCTCTAGTGTAAAGGCTAGTATTAGGCTGCTATAAAACCTGATCTTCTTTCCATACTAAATTAAAAAAGGCTGTAGCTTACAAACACTGACATGAAACCAGGCAAGGCAGGCAACAGCTTGGGGCCCCAGACCACTAGGGGGGCCCCTGAGGGCTGACAAACTTTAAACCATAGCAGTGGGCCAAGATGTGCACATTTCTAATGACAGTAGGAATCCTCCCTAGGGGGCCACATCTGACAGCACTCACACTCGTTGCCCTGCATAGGGTCACATGCATTATGTGGAAACCAAAGTTTTTGAATGAAATTCAATAAAAACAAGTAGAGGAATTATCTGTCTATATAGGAGAGACAAAAGGAAGAAGTGTCGGGACACTGTCAGAAATAAACACTGGTTGTGGTGCAGGTGGTGCAGTGGTTAGTGTGCGTGCCCCATGTATGGAGGCTGTGGTCCTCTAAGCGGGCGGCCCAGGTTCAAATCCGACCTGTGGCTCCTTTCCTGCATGTCATTCCCCACTCTCTCTCTCTCCTTGATTTCCGACTCTATCCACTGTCCTATCTCTACAATAAAGGCACAAAACGCCTTTATTTATTTTTTAATAAACGCTGGTTGGAGGGCCCTACAACTGGGGTTTTGCTGAGGGCCCCAACTGATTCTAGACTAGCCACTTTACGAAACTAGAAAGATAGGACTTCTTCTAACGTGGAAAATATCCGCCTCTTATTCTGAAACCCTGATCTCTAAACGTTTCCGGTCCTGCTCTTGGCGGTTCACCGTTACCTTGACTCCGCAGCGTGAAAGGAAAGGAGGGGACAACCCTGAACCGAGCTCATTTCTGCTCTCACGTTTCTGACCGGAGAGACTGTCCGCTGGTTCCGATGAAAGAAGTCAATCGTAACTCGGGGTGTTTTTCATAACCAGGACCAACCATCGTCCCCACATGTGCTGACACGTCTCTCCAGACATTACACACATCCCGTCGAGCCCGGCGGAGGAGCACCGACTCGGTCTGACACATTAGTGAATACTATACGAGAGAAGCGCCGAGGGGGGAAGAAAGATGTTGCTGAAGGAGTACAGGATATGTATGCCTCTCACAGTGGAGGAGGTGAGTTTAAAACACATTTCCTACACTTCTTATTTATGTCTTTGTAACGCAGATGAAGGTTCTGACACTGACAGTCGCAGACATGTGGCACGATGGACTGAAGTCTTCAGGTTTCTTTTCATTTCTCTTAATACAAATCAGATGGACTTAAGTCTTCACGTTTCTTGTCATTTATCTTCCTCTTCCTGTCACTACAAAGTCTCAATTCTCCGTGAGACTGTGTTTTTAGTCACCCCGCTTTCACGTAATCCCCACTTAGACTGATAACTACTTTTAGTTTAACAATCTCACCACTAAAAAAAAAGCCCTCTTGAGTCACACTTAATAATGACGTTTAAAGAGAGATACCAACAAACTAGTAGGCATACTCTTCACACCGTGTGTTGTTGATGTATTTCAGCAACGAGGCGATTCAAAGTGCTTCAACAAAGTCATTAAAAGCATCACGACAGATCATTATTATCTATTATCAAGCACAGAGAAAAGACAGATGATATGTTGTTAAAGTAAGATCCAGAAGACATAATAACATCAAGCAAAAATAAGGAATTAAAGTAAGAAATATAAATCCCATAGAACCCGACTGATTTATCGGCTGGCCGATAATATCGACTGATATCAGAACATCAAGTGACTGCCGATATCTGCGAATTTTCTCCAATATGTGTCTGATCTACTTTTGTGTAAATTATATCTTGTTTGATGACTGCGTTTGAGGGAGCAACGCGATGAATATGTGTGAATATAAATACATCAATTGATCTCTAAAGATCGAAGAGAGATCTAAGAAAGATATCAGCCGAGATATCTGCGTCACTTTACGGTATCGGCCCTAAAAACATCATTAGCCCGATCGGGTGAATGATTTCATCTGCTCTGAGCGGCTTTCAGTGTTTTGTGTCAAGGATGTCAACATTTTCGATACTTTTTGATATCATGTCTTTTTAAAAACAATTTAAACGCCGTTATTTTCATGATCGATGGTATCGGAAAGTCCTGAAAATATGCAGAATAAATGCAGACACTGAGTCAAATTTGAACTCAAAAGCTCCCTCAAGAAAAAGAGAGAGCTGTTGCGAAATGTATTTGTGCAACGTAGGCAGGAGTTTTCATGCAAAGTTATGTTTAAAAAAAAAACAACAAAGCCCCCGACAATTGGTTGGCTAGTACATCTATTTTTGTGGCTGTGGTTTGCTAGTGGTATCAACATTGTTGAATTGTACTAGGATGGTAAGTCTGATACCATGACGACCTGAGTTTGTATGATAGACTGGTCGAAAAGTCGTCACTGAGGAGCATCCTCGAAGTGGTCATTGTGAGATCATTGAATTGTAGTTTCAGCCATGTGGCTCCGGAATGAGTTTTGAAGTGGCAGGACATCCAGCTGGAAGACAAAGTAGACCCTCTTTATACCTGCAGCTGCATTACAATGTGTTTTCTTCAGATGGCACTTGACCACATACTGTACATTTACCTCTCAGCGATCACTCTCTTTCCATTTCACATCATCCTCATCTTGTTGTTGTTGTTGTTGTTGTTGTTGTTGTTGTTCTTCTTCTTCTTCTTTTTCTGTGCCTCCTCAGCGTCAACACTGTTTACGGTTTGCAGCGCATACCATAATCATATTGAATTATTTCACATGAATTAAGACTACAGAGAGTGTTAACTCACATGACAGCATAGCTAATGTAAAGTCAACTAAACTCACATCTTCAGGCGTCAACATCTTCCTCGTGTATTCTCTCTAAATCAATAAAAAAAAAAAAACCTCTGAAATAGACAAACGAGCGTCTTCCAACTTCAGCAGGGAGACCGGATCCTGTACAGAGTGAGCCTTTGTTTACAGTGTTTTATTTTTACTTGTGTGATGTAAGAGGCTGATTTCACTGTTTTTCACTGCGTGCAGTAATGCCTCAGCAGCAAACGTCCAGCACAGTTTAGCAGCAAAAGTAAAAGCTGGAGACATAAACCTGACAGGACAGAGGACATAATATGTGTAATATGGTACCAGACACAGTCGAAGACGTAGTTGCTGATATTGGACAGGAGGAGAATGAAGAAGATTTTGCTTTGACGAAGTGACAGACACCTTTTCACATCATCGCCCATACCATTGTTTACTCTCTCATCTTCCTTGTTTACAGTAGTTGGGAATGCGTGGGCGCTGCTGATGTGCTTCTTATAAAGTTGATGGGCTGGCAGTCAGGTGGAATAATAGTCCTGCTCTTGGAGACATGTTGTCAGGTCAGCACAGATTTGTTTTCTCATCTAAAGAAACGTCACAATGCTTTTTGAACAAAGTCATTTCGAGATAGAAAGCGAGCAATGAAGGTAAATACAAGGCTGCTTATTTTCTAATCTTTCACACATTGACGTTTAATGTTCCCTCCCTTTTACTCTCCCGCTCCTGTGACGCTCTATTTGTATCCAGCGGCTTGTAAAACCTGCTGCAAACTGCATCACTTTTATGACCATTTCTCTGAGGACAGTCAGAAGGCTTTCCAGGAATTCAAGGGATCGCTCTGGACTAATGTGGAAAGAGCTGCGTCCCTCTTTCTTCGTTGCTCTCTGACAGAACGGCTGCATGAAAGTGTTATCAAGTACAAGTTAAGAGAAGAACAATTGTTTTGTTTTTTTCTGCAGGGTCTATGTTTAGTCTTCACAAGCAGTCAAAACGCAGTTAACCACACACATGCAGAGACCTGTGGTCAAACAGAGAGGAAAGTGTTTGCAGGTCTTCTGAAATACCTTTTCGTGTGTGTGTGTGTGTGTGTGTGTGTGTGTGTGTGTGTGTGTGTGTGTGTGTGTGTGTGTGTGTGTGTGTGTGTGTGTGTGTGTGTGTGTGTGTGTGTGTGTGTGTGTGTGTGTGTGTGTGTGTGTGTGTGTGTGTGTGTGTGTGTGTGTGTGTGTGTGTGTGTGTGTGTGTGTGTGTGTGTGTGTGTGTGTGTGTGTGTGTGTGTGTGTGTGTGGGCTCACATGCACACCTTTTCCTTCCAGTAAACGGCCTCTAGCCCTCGCTGTGCGTGTTTGTCACGCCGAGAGGAGCAGCGAGAGCTTTCCTGTAACGCCACTCTGATGAGTGAACAGACGGTTATCAAGAGAAGACAGAACAGTGTAATTAAAGGCTCAAACTTTAATCATAGGATTGCATTGCACGATTATTCCCCAAAGTGACAGGTCGGACACGGTTTCATCTTTATAGTCTGGTTCTGTGTTTTGGTGAGAATCTGGAGGCCCGATGTTTAGCTGCGGAAGTTTTCTGGTGTCTGTGTGTAGTTTGTCATGTTGTCCAAATGTTCAGTCCAGTATTTCTAAGTAGCATCTACTCTTCCCGGGGTCCACTCATACAGACATGAGATTAAAATCAACACTAAATACTAATGATTCAAAGTCCAAGGAAAAAACAGAAGAAGACAAATGTATTTGTTCAACGTGCAAATGTCTGATCAGTGTGCACGAGTTTGCTCGCAATTTGAGGAGTTAACAACAAGACATTACCCTATTTGGGCCGACTAGGACTTCTAGTCATGTTGACGTGGTATTGTGATGGGAATCCTTTAATTTTAAGAGTATCATAACGAGGTTTAGAAATTCTGGTATGGTTGGTGACAACAGGAGAAGTTTGTATCCACGAGTGTTTTAGCAGGAAAACGGTCCTTGTGGAGAGCAAACGATGCAGAATGTGTCGCTGTAAAAACAATAACAACAAAAAGCCAACTCCTCTCTTTAAATCAGCGACTCACATTTCTGATGTTGTTCAACCAGTCAGATTTATTTAATGCACAATTGTGCAGTTTTTGTAGTTTGCAGCTTCAGTCAAATGTTTTGTACACCAGACGATGCACGGCTGAAGCAATAAACTGAACACTACAAACATACTTACAAACTGTGTGACTCCAGGTTTTCCAGGCACATGCGACCCACTGAATACAGCTCCATGACCCACCTTGTCCCGACCCACCAGTTGAGAATCACTGGTCTATTACATGAATGTGTTTTCTTTGTGCGGAACGTACCTGTGCACACGGCCATGCAATAATACAATTTGAAGAACAGCAGCTCGCTTTATACTACGACAGGCTCATTAAAGAAATGATAGGAATGTTTTGGTCTCATTCTTAAGTAAACACTAAGGAGAGTGGCCTGCCAAGAAAGACACTGCATCTGTTACTCTTTAGCACAGATAAAGCTGTATCCGAAGAAGGCCATTGTTTGCTGACAGTCCTAACAGTCAGTCTGAAGCCTCTTCACAGTTTTTCTGTTTGTGCTTGTCATGGCGGCACACACGGAGCAGAATGTCATCATCACTTAGTTAGCAGAAGAACGGACTGAGAGAAGGAAGGGTGGGATAGAGATGGTCTGCAGCGATGTGCCACTTTGTGCAGGCTGCAGAGGAGTTCAGAGGAAGGAAGAGGGGAGGAGACGAGGAGGATAAGGGAAGTTCTGGGAGTTTTTTTTGACAACTGTTACTCCTCCGGCCATGCACTAATTTTGTGTGTGTGTGTGTGTAGATGTGTAGTCATGGGGACATGCCAGGTCAAGTCTCTCAGTGTATTGTCTGTGAGTCGAGATTACTGGCTGCTGTTGCGTCATCACACTCTTACTCCTGCAGATGTGGGTCGGGCACTCTGCACGGTGTTTAAACAAGTTAAATGGAATCAGCACATACTAAAGAAATCATTGAGGAATACCAGAATGTATGAGCTGTCCTCTGAGCCTCCTGTCTCTGTCCTCTTCAACACCCTCAGCACTTCTGAGTGTGTGCCATGCCTGCTGGTTACTCCTTTCTTCTCCCTCCCTTTTGTCCTAGGTCTTCATTCAAATTGTCGGTAAAGAATCGGACGTATGGTGGAGCCTTTCGGTGAAGCCTGAGAAGTAATAGCCAATAGTTTCTTCATGTGCATGGGGTTAAACACGCAGTTCAAAATGCACTATTACATTAAAATAGAAATTGTTAAACAGGAAATTGTGGTCTTAAAAGATTACCAGTTGGATTAGCC